GGAAACTGTACGTTTATGTCACTGGAATGCACTAATCACCCAAAAAATATTACCGCCAGCCGGCATGTAAATGGATTTAACTCTTTGAACGTACAATAGTGGTTGTGAAGCAGAAAGTCAGTTTATTTAGCACAATCGGGTCAATTGCAGCTTGCCGTTGGCTGGAAACTGTACGTTTCTGTCACTGGAATGCACTAATCACCCAAAAAATATTACCGCCAGCCGGCGTGTAAATGGATTTAACTCTTTGAACGTACAATAGTGGTTGTGAAGCAGAAAGTCAGTTTATTTAGCACAATCGGTCAATTGCAGCTTGCCGTTGGCTGGAAACTGTACGTTTAGGTCACTGGAATGCACTAATCACCCAAAAAATATTACCGCCAGCCGGCGTGTAAATGGATTTAACTCTTTGAACGTACAATAGTGGTTGTGAAGCAGAAAGTCAGTTTATTTAGCACAATCGGTCAATTGCAGCTTGCCGTTGGCTGGAAACTACGTTTATGTCACTGGAATGCACTAATCACCCAAAAAATATTACCGCCACCCAGCGTGTATATGGATTTAACTCTTTGAACGTAAAATAGTGGTTGTGAAGCAGAAAGTCAGTTTATTTAGCACAATCGGTCAATTGCAGCTTGCCGTTGGCTGGAAACTGTATGTTTATGTCACTGGAATGCACTAATCACCCAAAAAATATTACCGCCACCCGGCGTGTATATGGATTTAACTCTTTGAACGTACAATAGTGGTTGTGAAGCAGAAAGTCAGTTTATTGTACACAATCGGTCAATTGCAGCTTGCCGTTGGCTGGAAACTGTACGTTTATGTCACTGGAATGCACTAATCACCCAAAAAATATTACCGCCAGCCGGCGTGTAAATGGATTTAACTCTTTGAACGTACAATAGTGGTTGTGAAGCGGAAAGTCAGTTTATTTTGCACAATCGGCAAACTGCAGCACCAACTGTGCACGACAGCCACCAAAAAAAAAAGGGTGTTTGTCACTTAAAATTTTCGATTCTTTGATAGCTGTGGCCCTAAGTAACGATTCTGTGTCCCTGAGTAACGATTCTGTGTCCCTGAGTAACGATTCTGTGTCCCTGAGTAACGATTCTGTGTCCCTGAGTAATGATTCTTTGGCCCTAAAGTCTCTGTGGCCCTAACTCTGTCCCTTAATACACACAGGTCTGTCTCTCTTGAATGACCGGAGGCTAATGGAGAATTCTAAGATGGCCGCGATTTATAGCTCCACCATTACACAGTGCTGGCTGGCTGCTGATTGGCTAATGCGATCACATGTCATGAATGCATTATGGGTCAGCGCGCCTTGTCTGCGCGCCTTCCCAGAGATCCCCGCCCCATCTTCTCTGTCCATTTTCTCCGTCGCCACACATGTCGCCGCCTTTTTTGGGAAAATTTGATTCGTGCATCCGAAGTTTGCTAATCTTCGGATTCGTCGCGAATAGAATTTTTCCAAATCTTCGGAACGAATTCCACTTCGTCATGTTCGATTCGCTCATCTCTAGACATAACCAATCTTTGTTGGGTTCCCGTGATCCAATTCTTAACTGCATCTCCTCCATACTGTGAATTATTTGTTTCCACCAACTACATCCAAGTCTTGCACAATTCCAACATCCCATATTTCCTTGTTACCAGCTGGATGTAGACCAGGACTTCAGAAAAAATGGGCATGCTTAAAGGTTTAATTGTCAAGTACAAGGCAGAACCTAAAGCTGTTAAAACCAAAAGCCTCGTGCTGGGAGTAAAAAATATGTAAATGAATCATGATTACCGGTGCTAATGTAAACCACTATCAAATATGAGCACTACCCCTCAGGGACCACTGAGTAATTTTTGGGTTTCCTATCTTTCCTGACCCCGCTCTGGAAGCCCAACCCCTGTTGACACCACCTTAAACCTGTGACTATTAAAATCCTCTGGCTGCAACCATAACATAGACACAGATATTTTGGTTGTATAGAGATCAAATGGAAGCACAACAAAGCAACAGCAAAATATGTGCATAAGACAACAGCTGTCACTCTAGTAACTTCAAGTAAGTGTCACAACACAGCACAATCTCAATCAGTTCTAGATGTCCTGCCATTCAGAATTTAAATGATAGCCCCAGTCCTGAGATGTTTCTTCCCCAGGGAGTAAAAAAAGCTACCAAGCAGAAAGACTTACTCACTTTGGGCTCTCAGTGGCTGAGGGCTGAGTCTAATTCTCATAAAATAAGAGCTCTTCTATAAATCTGCCATTTACCTCTAAACTCCTAGAACGCTTAGTCTATAATCGCCTGAGCTCCCACCTCACCGACAACAACCTTCTCGACCCGTTACAGTCTGGCTTCCGCCCCCTACACTCCACTGAAACTGCCCTATTCAAACTTACCAATGACCTACTAAACGCCAAAACCAATGGTCACTATACAGTACTCCTACTTCTCGACCTCTCTTCGGCTTTTGACACGGTTGACCACCCCCTCCTCCTCAAAAAACGACACTCTCTTGGCCTCAGAGACTCCGCTCTCTCCTGCCTCTCCTCCTATCTATCACAGTGCTCCTTAAGTGTTAACTATAATGCTGCCACCTCCTCTTCACTCCCTCTGTTGGGGTCCCTCAAGGCTCTGTCCTCGGACCCCTTCTCTTCTCCATCTACACCTCCTCCCTTGGCCAACTGATAAACTCCCATGGCTTCAATTACCATCTCTATGCTGACGACACACAAATCTATCTCGCTACCCCTCTCCTCACCCCTTCAGTCTCCACTCGTATCACTAGCCTACAAAGTGACATATCGGATTGGTTGTCACTCCACTTCCTCAAACTCAATCTCTCCAAAACTGAGCTCCTAGTATTCCCCCCAGCCCGCGCCGCCCCCCCCCGACTTCTCCATCAAGATCAACAACACTATTATCAGTCCCACCCCTCAAGCCAGGGTACTAGGTGTCGCTGACAAGCTCATGTAGACTTCACCTCCGCAACATCTCCAAGATACGACCGTTCCTAACCTCGAAAACCACTAAGCAACTCATTCACTCCCTATTATATCACGCCTCGACTACTGTAACTCCCTCCTTATTGGCCTACCTCATCGCAGGCTATCCCCACTTCAGTCTGTCATGAATGCTGCTGCCAGATTCATCCACCTTACTAACCGTTCTGCATCTTCCACCCCTCTCTGCCAATCCCAACACTGGCTTCCGATTGCCCAACGGATAAAATTCAAAACACTAACACTGACATACAAAGCCGTTCATAACACTGCCCCAAATTACATCACCAATCTTGTCTCCAAATATCACCCTAACCGTACTCTCCGCTCCTCACAAGACCTCCTACTCTCTAGCTCCCTTGTCTCCTCTTCCCATGCTCTTCTCCAGGGCTTCCCCCATCCTCTGGAACTCCCTACCCCAATCTATCAGACTATCGCCTACTCTGCTCACTTTTAGGCGCACTCTGAAAACCTATCTCTTCAGGGAAGCCCACCCCGCCCTCAGCTAATACTGGAATCCTCTACTCTCCCAACCACTCCATCCCCCACAGTTATTACCTTTTTGTACCACTATCCCCTCCCTCCTAGATTGTAAGCTCCAAGGAGCAGGGCCCTCGAATCCCTCTTGTATTGAACTGTATTGTTACTGTACTGTCTCCCACCATATTGTAAAGTGCTGAGCAAACAGTTGGCGATATATAAATCCTGTATAATAATAAATAGGCCAATGTCCCTTTAACTGCAGTTACTGATCTTCTGTGTGCTCGATGGACATATTTGGTGCATATAAGGATTCAAAACTTTTCTTGAAGCAAAGGCAGAAGTTCCTTAATAGATGGTGAATATGAAGGAAGGGAGCTGCCCTTTTGACCACTTGCCCTCTAGAGGATTTACCCCCCTTAATGACCAGGCCTCTTTTTGCTACTCGGCGCTGCACTAATGCAACTGATAATTTTGCGACATAAACAAAATTTGTGTCCTTTTTTTCACACAAATAGATCTTTCTTTCGGTGGTATTTGATCACCTGTGCACTTTTTATTTTTTTTGCACTCTATACAACAAAAGACCGAAAATTTTGAAGAAAAACTATATTTTTTTACTTTCGGCTATAAAAAATATATAGTAAACTCAAAGTTAATTATAAATTTAGGCCAAAATGTATTCTGCTACATGCTTTTGTTAAAAAAAAATTCCAATAAGTGTATATTGATTGCTTTGTGTGAACGTTATAGCGTCTACAAACTATGGTATAGATACTGCAATTTACGCCATTTTATTGCTATACAGTGCAGCACTAATTTAACTGACAATTGCACGGTCATGCAGTATGGTACATAAATGAAACTTATGTCCTTTTTTCACACAAATAGAGCTTTCTTTTTGGTGGTATTTCATCACTTGTGCGCTTTTTATTTTTGGCGCTAGAAAAAAAAGTTTTGAGAAAAAATGGTATTTTCTCATTTCTGTCATAAAAAATATCCAAAAAAACTAAAATTTCGTCATAAATTTAGGCCAAAATGTATTCTGCTACATGTTTTTGGTAAAAAAAAAATCCCAATAAGTGTATATTGATTGCTTTGTGTGAAAGTTGTAGCATCTACACACTATGGTATAGATAATGGAATTTGCACAGCTTTTCCTTTCTGACTGCTCATCACATTTCTTGAGGTGCTAAAATACCACGATCGTACAAACACTCCCAAATGACCCCTTTTCGGAAAGTAGACACCCTAAGCTATCTGCTGAGAGGCATATTGAGTCTATGGAAGATTTTTTTTTTTTTCCACAAGTTTCTGGAAAATGACAAAAACATTTTTTTTTTACACAAAGTTGTCATTTAACCACTTGCCTACAGGGCACTTTTACCCCCTTCCTGCCCAGGCCAATTTTCAGCTTTCAGCGCTGTCACACTTTGAATGACTATTGCGCGGTCATGCAACACTGTACTCATATGATATTTTTATAATTTTTTTGAGACAGAGCTTTCTTTTGGTGGTATTTAATCACTTCTGGGTTTTTTATTGTTTGCTAAACCAAAAACAACTGAAATTTTTGAAGAAAAAAAAACATTTTTGCTTAGTTTTTGTTATAAAAGTTTGTAAATAAGTGATTTTTCTCCTTCACTGATGTGCGCTAATGAGGCTGCAGTGATGGGCACTGATAGGCTGCACTGATGGATACTGATAGGTGGCACTGATGAGGAGGCACTGGTAGGCTGCACTGATGGGCACTGAAAGGCAGCACTCATATATGGCACTGATAGGCGGCACTGACTGGCACTGATAGGTGACACTGACTGGCACTGATAGGAGGCACTGACTGGCACTGACAGGCGGCACTGATTGGTGGCTGTGACAGCTCGTGAGGAGAGAAATGCTGATAACCGGCATTTCCTTATTTACATGCGATCAGCTGTGATTGGACACAGCTGATCACATGACCGAGCCGACGTCTTCAGTTCTTTTCTTTGATGGGTGATCCGCTGTGTCTGAGGGACGCAGCGCACCACCGATCGCCGTGCATGCGCGGTTAGAGTGGGAGGATGTCATATGACATCCTCCCAGAACGAGAGAACCGCCTTGTGCCCTTCATCTCCTTATATGGGAGGCGGTTAAATTATATATTTCTCACACAAGCCATAGGTATATGTGGGATTACACCCCAAAATACATTCTGCTACTTCTAACAAGTATGGGGATACCACATGTGTGAGACTTTTTGGGAGCCTAGCCACATACAGGAGCCTGAAATCCAATGACCACTTTGAAAGCCTAAAGTGAGTAACTTCCTCATTTCACTTCCTCACTACCTATCACAGTTTCGAAGGTCCTGAAATGCCAGGATAGCAACAAACCCCCTCCCCCCCCTCAATTGACCCCTTTTTGGAAAGTAGACACCCCAAGGAATTTAAAAAGAGGCATGGTGAATATTTTGCAGATCTCATTTTTCTCACAAGGTTTTGACATATTAAAAAAAAAAAGTTTTTGTTTTTGTTTTCCATTTTCCAAAAACTTGTGGCAACAAACAAGATCTGCAAAATACTCACCATGCTTATCAAATTCCTTGAATTAATGCTTTCAAAAAAGTGGTAATTTTGGGGGGGGGGGGGGGGTGCTATCCTGGCATTTCAGGGCCTCCAAAACTGTGATAGGTAGTCGGGAAGTGTAATGAGGAAATGAAGCCCTTTTAAAAGCCTGAAGGTGCTTATTGGATTTTGGAGTCCTGTACTTGGCTAGACTGCCAAAATGTTTCTCACATGTGGTACCCCCATACTCGGGAGAAATAGCAGAATGTATTTTGGGGAGTAATTCCACATATACCCATGGCATGTGTGAGCAATAAATCATTTAAGTGACAGTTTTGTGTAAAAAAATAAAAAACATTTTTTTGTCATTTTCCAAAAACTTGTGGTAAAAAAATTAATTCTATTGATTCAACATGCCTCTCAGCAAATAGTTTGGGGTGTCTACTTTCCAAAAAGGAGTCGTTTTTGGGGTGGGGGGCATTAGAAGTTTATGCCACACATCACTCACTCTTCAAACTACCTGAAGACCAAGCCTTTTCTGACACTTTTTGAAAAAAATCTGTATTTTTTGCTAGGAAATTAATTTAAACATTATATATATTTTTTAAAGCAAACACCCTAGTGAATAAAATGGTGGGTGCTGCAACTTGTTATGTCACATAGTATTCGTGCAGCGATTTTTCAAACACAATTTTAAAAACTTTTTTTTACTTTTAATGCATAAAAACACAATATATTGGCTAATTATTTGGTAAGATATAAAAGATGATGATATGCCAAGTAAACATGCTTTAAAACTGTGCATGCCCCATGCAATGGCGACAAACTGCATATGTTTTTAATGTCCATAGGCAATGTTTTAAAAGCCTTTACAAGCTACCATTTTAGATTTACAGAGGAGGTCTAGTGTTAGAATTACTGCCCTTGATCTGACATTCACGGCGATACCTCACATGCATGGTGCAACCGCTGTTTACATACCAGCACAGAGTCAACGCTCACGCACGCAGGTGTGCATGCACGGGGGGGGGGGGGCGAGGGTGATTTTTTTTTTTTTTTTATTATTATTTTTCACTGTCCCTTTAGTTTTTTTTTTATCACTTTTAGTGCTATCACAGGGAATGCAAATATCCCTTATAACTTCAATGGGCATTGTCATGTATTCTTTTTTGAGAACTCTGGGGTCTATCAGACTCTAGATATCTCCTCTGCCCTTACATTATCTAATCAAACCAAGATCGGTGTGATCAGATGCTTTCCCAATTTACAAATGGCTCTGTTTATATCCTGCGAAACTGAAGTGATGAAATGCTCGTAGCTTTCAATTTCTTTTTCGGGACTGCCCGAGAAGGCCGTGGAAGGCAGATGGGGAGCATCATCTCCCGCTGCTTGTTAAAGCAGTCCTGCAGCTAATTAGCCACTAGGATTGCTTTTACATGAAAGCGGATCACTGGCTGAAAAAAATGATACCAGGATGATGCCTGCAGCTGTAGGCATCATCCTGGTATAAGCATTCAAAGTCCAGTGATGTACCAGTACGTCCCTGGTCCTTGATGGGTATATATGCTATGTTCTTTTTTTTTTTTTTTGTATGCAGCCTGTATGCTGAATGAAAAAAGAGAAGTAATCTCTGCCAGAAAAAGTGTTAGAATATACCACCTTGCATCCACCCACTTTTAATGGTGGGCACACATTAGATCGCACTGTGCCACATGCGCCAGTTCCAAGATTCTACAAATGTCTAAATAGTGGCACACTTGAATGAAAATTGTCCACATATAAGTGGTACCCCATATGGAAAAAGAATGACACCAAGTCCCAAACTTTCTTGCCACTGCTCCCCATGTAGTCTGGGCATCCGGGAGGCTCCACATGACTTCTTTTCCCTCGTAAATCTGAAACTTATATGTATAGCCTGTTGCCCTCTCACAGGTCTTCTAGATCTTGACCCCATATCTGGCACGCTTGCTGGGAAGAAATTGTTTGAATACAAGGTGGCCAGAGAAATTAATGAGAGACTCATCAATGCAGATTTTTTTGCTGGGGAGTATAGATATCTGCGAATTTTTGGTTAAGGTGATTTATGAGGGGCTGAATTTTGTGGAGCCGGTCAAATTCAGGGTCACCCCGAGGACAACAGAGTGTATTTTTGTACAATTTACTGGCAAGTGCTAACAGATCAGGCCTGATTCTGCCAACACTGCAGTTTTGTGTGCAATGTATCAAGTGACAGTGACCTACTGACTGCACTTGCTGGGGGAGAAGGGGGTAAGCGTAGGGCCTAATGCAGGTGCTGGGGTTAATCCCGCTAATGCTGCGTTTTTGGGGACACTATACTAATGTGGATGCTGGTATAGTGCTGATCTGATCAAAGATATTGATCCATTCAGACACTATACTAGCAATGGAGGTTTATTGTGTATGAGCATCTTCCTGGCAATCAAGGGGTTAAATGTGATTACTGGTGTACTGACCAGCAATCTGACACTATTTGGGGAGGGGCGTGAAATCCACGGGAGTGCGAATCACGTATATATATGTGATTTTGTGCACCCGTGCCACTCTAGCAGTATTTCTGCTTTAGGTAGGTCAGGAAACGGTTACATAAGCGGTTTGTGTTAAGGCGCTGCATTACTTTAACTGACAATTGCGCGGGTCATGCAATGCTGCACCAAAATGAAATTTACATCCTTTTTGCCCTACAAATTGAGCTTTCTTTCGGTGGTGTTTGATCGCCTGTGCATTTTTGTTTGTTTTGGTTTTTTTTGCTCTATAAAAAAAAAGACAATTTTGAGAGAAAAAACTATATTTTGGACTTTTTGTTATAAAACATGTCTAGTATAAACAATTTAAATCAAATTTCGTAATACATTTGGGCCAAAATGTATTCTTCTGCGACATGCCTTTGCTAAAAAAAATCCCAATACGTGTAAATTAATTGGTTTACATAAAAGTTATAGCGTTTACAAATGGCAGTATAGATGCTGGATTTTTTTTATACTAATAATAGCAGAGATCAGCGACTTATGGCGGGACTGCGGCGGACATTCTGACACTGGGGGGGAACCGACTTGGGGGTCACTGACAACCCCAGTGACACCAATACAGTTATCAGTGCAAAAAAAAAAAAAAAAAAACACTGACACTGTACTGATCTGTGGGGATGGGGTACAGGGTATGGGTCAGCTGGACAGTTCTGTACTGGGGGAGTATTGGGGGGAGAGCTCTTTCCTGGAGGGAAGGATTGAAGGGAGTACTCTGGGGAGGGGGGAAGTTAGGGTAGAGCTCTGTACTAGGGGAGACTGAGTGTAGGGGAGAAGGAAATTTTTGGTTGTACGCTGGCTTGTGTCACCCACTCCTGAGTCTTGTGCACTGATACAGTGCACAAAATACAGTTTTTGAGCCCTGCATGCTTTGTGTTACACTCTGAAGCCAAGTACTCAGGTCATTACATACTCTTGAATGTTGTATGGTACATAGTCTTGTTAGCTGTGCTGTGAATTACATAGTCTTAACAATGCTGCTATGTACAGTGAGGAACAGAAGTATTTGAACACCCTGCGATTTTGCAAGTTCTCCCACTTAGAAATCATGGATGGGTCTGAAATTCACATTGCAGGTGCATTCTCACTCTGAGAGACAGAATTTAAAAAAAATTCAGAAAATCACATTGTATGATTTTTAAAGAATTTGTCTTGCACTGCTGAACATAACTATTTGAACACCCGAGAAAATCAGTGTTAATATTTGGTACAGAAGCCTTTGTTTGCAATTACAGAGGTCAAACATTTCCTGTAGTTCTTGACCAGGTTTGCACACACTGCAACAGGGATTTTGGCCCACTCCTCCACACACATCTCCTCTAAATCTGTCAGGTTTCGGGGCTGTCGCTGAGCAACACAGTTTCAGCTCCCTCCAAAGATGTTCTATTGGATTTTTGTCTGGAGACTGGCTAGGCCACTCCAGAACCTTGATATGCTTCTTACGGAGCCACTCCTTGGTTATCCTGGCTGTGTGCTTCGGGTCGTTGTCAGGTTGGAAGACCCAGCCACGACCCATCTTCAATGCTCTGAGTGAAGGAGGTTGTTACTCAAAATCTCACAATAAATGGCCCCATTCATCCTCTCCTTAATACAGTGCAGTCACCCTGTCCCCTTCGCAAGAAAAGCACCCCTAAAGCATGATGTTACCACCCCCATGCTTCATAGTAGGGATGGTGTTCTTGAGATGCAGCTCATCCTTCTTTTTCCTCCAAACAAGACGAGTGAAGTTTAGACCAAAAAGTTCTACTTTGGTCTCATCTGACCA